TGGAGGGAGGGGGATGAGATGGAGGGAGGGGGGATGAGATGGAGGGGAGGGGGGATGAACTGGAGGGAGGGGATGAGATGGAGGGAAGGGCTGTGGGGCTGGTGCCTGTGGGGTCCCGTCGGGCACGGGTGTGAGTGTGCGGGGCTCCCTGGCTGACGGACTACCCCACCCCCAGTGCCCTTCCTGGTGGCCCTGGTGCTCTTGGGCTCTGTTCTGGTGGGCCTCCTCCTGGTCCCCGGCCTCCTGCAGGGGCTGCTGGCGCTGAGGAGCATCGCCGACACCTACTTCAAGCTGCTGCTGCTGGGCCTGGTCGCCTTCAACTTCGTGGGGGCCTTCATGCTGGAGGTGGGGCCTGCCCCGCACTGGGGTGGCAGGGGGCTCTGGGGGTGGGACTGAGCCACAGCTGCCCCCCTGCGCCCTCCCTGTCCCCGGCAGAGCGTGCTGGACCAGTGCCTCCCAGGCTGCCTGCGGTGGCTCCGGCCCAAACGGGCCTCCAAGAAGCGCTTCAAGCAGCTGGAGCAGGAGCTGGCCGAGCAGCCCTGGCCACCGGCTGCCGGGCCCGGGAGGTAGCGCAGGCCCGCCGGCCGGCACCCTAAACACTGGATCTCCCTGCTTCTGAGCCACCGGCCAGGACCCATCTCCAGAGACACCACTGCCATCGCTCCTGCAGCCCTGAGGTTGGCGGTTGTCACACTCATGTCCCACGTCTGCCCGGCCCAGCCTTCCCTGCCCCCGCCTGGGGAGATGCTAACTATCCTTGTCCCCCACTTCGGACGCCCCTTGTAGAGACAGCGGCCACCACCCGCACTCAGAGCCACTGTCAGTGTAGCAAATAAAATCATAATATTTTCCTGCCTCGGCCTGCCTGATACCACTGACCTGGGTGCCCCTGGCACATGTCTGCTCCCGGCATCCCCTGATTTTTCAGATCATGTTGGACAACTCCCCTCTCTGAGCCTCTGTTTCCTCATCTGACAGTCATATCTCCAGGTTGAGCACATGCCCGGTGCTCCGTTCAACATTTTATAGGCATCATCATTTAATCCTTATAACTGTGGAGTACTGCCCCCGCCTTTTTTATTTTTATTTTTGGCCGCACCGCATGGCTTGCAGGACCTTAGTTCCCTGACCAGGGATCAAACTCAGGCCTGTGGCAGTGAAAGCACTGAGTCTTAACCACTGGACTGCCAGGGAATTCCCCGTCCCCCTTTTACAGATATGGAAACTGAGGCTTAGAGGTCACGCAGGTAGTCAGAGCTGGGACCAGATTGCTTTGACTCCAGAGTCCACACTCTTAACCGTCCTACCCTCCTGCAGGGGCAGCAGAGAATGGGCTTGACTCAAACAAGTACCAGCCCCTACAAGGCGTTTAACTGGGGCAGTTCCCTGCTTTCCCCACCTCCCGCATCCTGGGATGTGTTTACGGTCCAGTTCTTCCCTCACATGCGATCCAGGCTCTGAGCCCACGTTTCCCAGCCAGAACCACATGCGCCATCCCCCGGGGAAGGGTGGGTGCTTCTGACCTCATCCCACCAGTGGGACCCTTGCCAAGCCCTGCTCTGGAGATGCAGCTCCGTCATCTGGTCCATCTGTGCTGGGCAGGGGACAACAGGAAAGAAAAGCCCCCGCCAACCTCATTACTGGAAGCCCTGGCACCACCCCCAGCCCACCCTCGTAGGAGCTCAGCGAATGTTGAATCAAACTGAGGACAAGGATGGGGGGCGTGAGGAGGTAACCTGTGACACCAGGCGCATCCACAGACCCTCCGCACTGGGCACTGAGTCATCAGACAGCAATGGCTCAGGGTGGCAGATACTGTTCAAAGGGAGGTTGGAGGACACGGCGAGGCCTGGGTTTGATTCCCACCTCTACCCCTAGCTGATTCTTCGTGCATTTGTTGGGCAGTCGTGTGCCAGACACAGGGGCTACGGCGGTGAACAAAAAACATGACCTCTGCCTGGGTGCAGCTTATAACGTGGCGTGAGAGGCGAGCGGGGAAGGAGCAAATCTCCAAGAACACTGGGAGAAGAGTCCCCACACCTGCTACTCCCTCCCCGGATAGCTGCCACCTGTGCTTGGGTCCTTAGAGCCAGAGGAGTGGGTAGAAGCAGCAGAGGATCTGGGAGCCAGGACACTAGAGGTGGCAGCTTTGGGGCTTCAGTTTCCCCTTTTTGTCAAGCGTAGGGGACAGCAGTTCTGCCAGGCGGTTTCCTCTCCTACACTAGTGGGATTGCATCTGGCAGCAGTGAAGGGCTAAGGAAGGGCAGAGAGGGCCAGGCTGGCCCCCGGGGCCCATAGTGCTCCAAGTGACAAAAATCCCTGCTTGTTCTGCCATAGACACTGGAGCGGGGAGGGGGGCGTGGTGGCCGATATTCATTCACCCATTCACTTGACAGACCAGCACTGGGGAACAAACGGTGCATGGGACATGGTCAGCCCCTGCCTAACAGGATTCAGTGTCTAAGGGACAAGCAGCCTAAGGAGACCTGAAGGTGAGGGCCTGAATCAAGGGGCATCTTGATCCCCCTCCCAGCCTGAGGCCCCTGCCCCAGGCCTAGATTCCCGTGACCAGGCAGGACCGCCCCAGGGGCAGGAGACCTGCAACCCCACACCTGGCCAGCCTCCCAGGAGAATCCACTGTACATCATTTATTCATTCCACAAATGTTTACTGAACAGCTGCTCTGAGCCTGGCACTGTGCCTAGTGAGCAAAAACTGAGGATGAGCAGAAGCAGACCTTGTCCCTGTCTTCACGCGGCTGACAGGCTCGTGGGGGAGGGGCGGGACTCACATGGCCTCAGACATAGGGCAACAGCTGATGCTTTAGAGCTCTAACAGGGAGAAAGGGAAGCCGCCTCTGAGGAAGGGAGGGTTTGATCTCTAATCTGAAGGAGGAAAACCTCACCAGTGTTGCAGAAGGAAGAAACATTTTGAGCAAAGGCCTGGTGGCAGGTGGAGGAAGGGAGGGGTTTACTGAGAATCAGCCAGAAAGCCATTGAGGCTTTTGGGAGACCAGGCAGAGGGAATGAGGAGGCAGAGCCAGGCTGTGATGAAAGGTAGGGCCTTTGGGGGCCCCGGGGCAGTTTAGCCTTGTTCCCGGGTACCTTGGGAAACCAGTGAAAGGCTTTAGGTAGAAGCCTCCCTGCCCCCCACCCTGTCTGAGGTGAGTGGGTGAGGGCAGGGCCCGTTTGGGAAGGCCTAGATTGGAGGTATTACAGAGTCAGAATTAGTGGTGGGAGCTGGATTGGCTGCAGGGGTTGAGCACACGGGAGTTACAGTTAGCCGGGTAAGGGAAGGACGGGGGGGCTCATTCCCTGCATGGGAACACCTTCAAGGGCCAGGTCTGGGGAAGGTCGGGATGTTGTGAATTTGGACTTGGATCCTGTTGAATTGGATGTGCCTTGGGGACATTCGTGTGGCCAGGCCCGGTAGCCTGTAGCCTGTGGTTTCAAAGAAATGCTGGTTATGGAAGGCAGCTGTGGCCAGGAGCTGGCTAGGGAGACCCGGAAGGCACAACCAGAGAGGCAGAAGGAAAACCAGGCTAGGAAGTCTGTCCTGGAAGCTGGGAGAAGCCAAAAGGGAGGGCAAGACTGTTTCTCGCTGAGCCGCGGTAGGCGAATCATCTTTCCGAGCCTCCTCTGTAAAATGGGGACAGCACGCCCACTTCACCCATCTCACCACTTTGCGCTCCAGCTGTGATGAGGCCGTGAGGAGAAAGCATTTTGCACAGCGGAAAGTGCTGAACAGACGTGAGGCTGGCTCCGCGGGCGCCTCCTCCCCGCGGGGCTGCCCCCAGAAGAGGGTTGAAGACCCGAGGTCGCGGCGTGGTGGCCCCGGCGGCGGCGGCGGCGCTCGCGTTAGGACCCAGCGGATCCAGGCTGGAGGGCGGGCGCCGGCCCCGTCGGGGGCCCGGAGGGGGGTTCGGAGCGGGCAAAGGGGCGGCTCAGGCGGGCGGACTCGGAGCGGGCCGCGGAGTGACCCGGCCAGGTAGGTGCGGGCCTGGCGGCCTGACCGGGCCGGGGGCGCAAGGGGGGACTGGGTCGTGGGCCGCGACGTCGGAGGGCCCCCAGGTACTGAGGGTGCGGGTCTCTGCGGGTCCCCGATGCTGGGGGCGGCTTTCCTTTCGGGATCCCTGAGTCCGGGCCGTCTGAGCAGATGCTAAGAGGGCACTTGGAAAGTTTGGAGTCGTTTGGAGGGGAAGACGCGAGTTGGGAAGGGAGGGGAGCCCGATTTGGGGGGCGTCGGGGATGGGGCGGCTTTTGTTCTCCCTGGGAGGTTGGAATGCGGCGGCTGGGGTGTGGGTGTCCGGCGGGAGCGGCGGGGACAGAGACGCGGAGAGACAAAGAGAGATCAGAGACCGAGAGAGCGCGAGGGAGCGCGCCCGAGCAAGTTTCCGTGGTTGATTGTTCCCAGCTGTGCGGCGCTGCAACATCTGGTTTCCTCCAGCCGGACCCCAGCCCGGCCTCTAGAGCAGACAGAGCCTCCAGCAGAGTGAGTCAGTGAGCGTGGGGGCAGGGGGCCCGGAGGAGGCCCCGCTAGTGCCCCTCCTCGCCAGACACAGAGGGTAGGGGGCGTCCCAGCCGTGGAAGGAGCCAGGGTCCAGGAACAGGCCTCCTAGGCAGGTCCTGGCCTCCCGACACCCAAACAGTCTGTCGTCTAGATGTGCTTGGAGGTGTGATCCCCTGGAGGCACCCGCTTCTGCCACAGGGACTCTCTTCTTTACAGCCCAGCCCTCCTTCCCCCAATAAGCCTGGGCCTGGGTGCTCAACCTCCGAGGGGAGGAAAGACTCCTTGCAGGGGGCTGAGAGGCCTAGGAGGGACTTTGGGAACCCACAGAACCCCCCACCCCCCAACCAACCTCCCCAGCTCGGGGCCTTCTCCTGAGTGGTGACAGCTCCAGCTAGCCTGCCTGCCACCAGCCTGGGGGGCAAGTAGGGGACAGTGAGGCCTTGTGGGGAGCTCCAGGCCTTTCAGTCCCCCACCAAGAGGAGGCCAAGGGTGCTCAGAATGGGGATGTGGGAGCCAGATGTCCCCGGCCTGTGGGGCAGCTTGAGTCACAGGTCTCGCCTCCGCCACCCCACCTCATCCCCACCCACCCCATCGACTGCAGCTAGGGTTGAGGAGGGAGTGAGAGGCTGAATGTATGAGACAGGCAGCGGGTCACGAAAGCGTCGGGACTGGGCAGAAGGAGGGAAAGATGCCCATGTTTCTGCCCCTTCCCTCCCCCTCTCCCTCGACTCCCTGGGCGAGGCACGATGGGGCAAAGTTAGGTTTCCATTCAGCTATCCGGAAGAACTCCTTTTGTTGTGGCAGGGCAGGGGTCCTCCGGACGGGTGAGCCCGGGGACTCTCTCCCAGCCCTCCTAGCAGAAGGCTGACAGCCTTGGGGCTGCCCCGCACTGAGCTGGGACTGGACAAGAGGACCTGTAGATTCTGCCAAGTCCACTGTGGGGTCAAAGACTGGAGGCTAGACTCAACCAGGAGCTCTTGAACTTCAAGAGCCCAGTGAAAGCTAAGGACCACGGCCCTCTCCCCAAAAAACTACACACATAACACTTGTCATACAATGTCAGGTTGGGGGACATCCCGGTCCCCTTCAGCGCTACCCTCTAGGATCTGGAGAGGCGCTTTTCAGACTCCACCCTAAGTGCTTCCTGCTGCAGCAGACAAGTAGACCTCAGTCTCAGTCTCGTGAGTGTGCGATGAAGTCAGCCAGGTCTTGGGAGGCCTGGAGGCCTGGCAGAAGAGGAATCTTCCAGGGGTGGGAGCCCTGCCCAGGCCTGGCTGTCCCAGGGGCCCCTGAGGCCCAGGCACACATGTGGTTTCCTGCTGAGTCTGGGCTTCGATGTTGGCTGGGCAGGGTTGGGGTCCCGAGGATGGGCCTGGGGTCAGGATCAGTGCATTAGACACCTGGGGAAGTGCTGAACCAGAGGGTGGGCATGGGTTGTGGCAAGGAGAGCAGGGGCAGGGCTGATAGAGGATTAGAAATGTCCATTTAGTGAGCAGGGCAGGGTAGGGTCTGTTTGTCAAGATCAGCTCTTGGAGCCAGGTTGGAGGCCGAGTCCCTTAGGATCTGAACACCCAGTGGGCCATCAGGGACAGAGGATGTCCCTCCAGAGTAGTCCCCTCCCCCTGGGCCCAGACTCCATGACCCTCCACCTGCCTGGCTTCTGTTCCGAATCCCTCGTTCTCCAGGCTGAATTCGGGGGAGCAGAAGTGGGCTCTGCAGCCCTGGGGTAGTGGCCCGGGATACAGCTTGCCCCCTCCTCTTCCTCCAGCTGTCCCTTGACACCAGTCCAGCCCGCCTCGTTGTGTAACCATGAGAGCTGCCTACCTCTTCCTGCTGTTCCTGCCTGGTAAGTGGCACCTAGGTGTGTGGGGCTCCCTTTATGTGGGTGGGAGTGGAGTTTGTAGGGGGAGGGAGCTGGCAGTAAGTTTTTGTCGTGTCCTATGGCCAGAACTCAGCTCCATCGCTCCCAGGGCCGTCCACCTCTTGGGCCACAGACAGCTGGCAACCCCTCCCAAAGACTAGAGGCACCTCCTGGGCCCCTCCTCAACCCTCCACAGCAGCAGACTGGCAGGATTCTGGAGAGTGGGCCCAGACACCAGGATCCACATTTTTCTTCTTACTTACTGACCCTCCCAGGAGCTGAGGTGCAGGAATGGAGGCCCCTAAGGCAGGGAGTCTGAGGGCCTGGGTTCTAGACCGCTTTGGGGCCCAACTAACCTATACAATCTTGACCTTGGAGAAGTCCCTGTTAGTCAAAGTGAGGAGTTATCAATGGGGACCCCAAAGGCCCTGCCAGGTCTAACATCCATTAATTGAACAGATATTTGTGGAACTCCTACTTTGGGCCAGGCCCTGGGCTAGGCCCTGGGAACACAGTGATGAACCAGGCAGACAGACCCCCGCCCTCATGGTGTTGCCTGCCAGTCTAGGGAAGGGATGTGGTAAGTGAAAGATTATGTTGAGTGCTATGATGGGAATACACAGGAGAACGAGATGGAGAGTGTGGGTGGGCCAGCGAGGGCCTCTTAGCAGAGCTGAAATTTCAGTTGAGACTTGAAGGAGGAGAAGCAAATCAGGATGACAGGCCCAGGGAGAGTCAAGTGCAAAGGCCTTGGGGCAGGCAGCGGCCGGCATGGGGGAGAGGGGCAGGATATGACCCGTGAGGCGACACAGGACCAGGGAGTATAAGGGCCTTTATGGTCAAGGAAGGCGTTTGCCTCCTATGGGTCTAGAGTCTGTTGAGGATCTTAGGGTCTTACAGGCCTGCCCTAGGGACCTCTACCTACCCTCCCCAGAAGTGCTTTGGGGCCTCTGCTGCCCTTCCCTGCTGGACGTCCCCTCAGCTTTGCCTCCCCACAGCAGGCCTGCTGGCTCAGGGCCAGTACGACCTGGATCCGCTGCCTCCGTTCCCAGACCACGTCCAGTACACCCACTATAGCGACCAGATCGGTAAGCGCCTTGTCTGCCCCCAGGCCTCCCCGCCAGCCCTGCTCCCTGGATCTGCATGGCTCAGCCAGGGATCAGGTGGGGTGGTAGGGCGATGGGAATCTCGGGGTATGGTCCCTTGCTCAGTTGTGACCTGGGGCTGGGGGCTAGCCTGACCCCCACCAATTGCACATTCATCTTTATTTTCAGACAACCCGGACTACTATGATTATCAAGGTAAAGGGCTGAGGGCAGGATAGGATGGGCAGCTGGGTGGGGAGTCCATAGAGGCCTGCGGGCGAGGGGAGCAGACCCTTCCATCATCTCTCATTGCAGAGGTGACTCCTCGGCCCCCGGAGGAGCAGTTTCAGTTCCAGTCCCAGCAGCAAGTCCAACAGGAAGTCATCCCAGCTCCCACCTTAGGTAGGCCACCAGCTCCAGCCAGCCCCGGGAGTGGGGAGGTCTGTCCGGGGCTGGGAGAGGTGACCTCACCCTGCCCTGAATAGACCCGTCCCAGTGATCTCTGCCTGCCTCTCCCCCAACACCAGAACCAGGAACTGTAGAGACGGAGCCCACGGAGCCTGGGCCTCTGGGTAAGAACCTTCCTGACAACTGGAGGGACAGAGGCATGGCCCCGGAAGTTAGGGTGCAGTGGCGTGCGGCACTGGGAGGACAGAGAAAGCCAGGCCTTTTGCTCTCGCTGGGGTAGATGGTGGGGTGAGGGGCTTGCAGAGGTGCCCCTGCTTTAGGCTGGCAACTCCAGGGCCCCCCCGAGGCAGCTCTGGGAGATCCCCCTGCCCCTGGGCCCAGCTGGAGGCCAAGTTGGCTGCAGCCTCAGGAGGGGCCTCTACTCCCAGACACTGGGGCGGGGCGGGAGCACGCCGGCGGCAGGACAGGGTGGTGCTCAGAGGCAGGAGAAGCGAGGATGGGGCGGGAAGCCCAGGCCAGCTCAGCGGGCCTCCCCTGGCCAAGAGCCCAAGAGCCAGCCTGTGTGTGAGGGACCCTGTCTCACAGCTCAGCGTGTGAGTGTGTGGACCTCCTGTGAGGCTGCTGTGGACTTTCGTGACTGTGTGCGGGTATAGATTTGTGTTTGAATATATGCTTCCAAGCGTGGTTGTGAATTTGTATATGTATAAATATACTGGATAAAATTGGGCAGCCTCGCAAGGTCCAACAGTGCTCGCGTGTGCATGTGTTGGTGTGTGCACGCAGGTCTAGGCTGGGCCTGAGGGTGCAGGGGTACCTAGGCCCTGAGAGCCAGTCTCCCATGGGTGCGGTTGGGGGCTGCCACCCAGCTCTAAGCCCCCAGCTGCAGCCCCCCCAAGTCTGATCCCACCTGTCACTCAGACTGCCGCGAGGAGCAGTACCCGTGTACCCGCCTCTACTCCATACACAAGCCTTGTAAACAGTGTCTCAACGAGGTCTGCTTCTACAGGTGAGCACAGGCAGGGACTGAGGGGACGGGGGTGGCAGGGGAGCGAGGGGGACCACAGCTCCAGCCAGCAACGTGGGAGTGGGGAAAGCTAGTGAATCCCAAGGTTGAGCTCAACTCTGGTTAAGCCCAGGCCTAGGGGCTGGGTCTGCAGCTCTCCCGTGGGGCAGGGTGAGGATGGGGCTGACGTTTCTCCCAGCCCCGTCCCTCTGTCCCTCTCAGCCTCCGCCGTGTGTATGTCATCAACAAGGAAATCTGTGTCCGCACGGTCTGTGCCCACGAGGAGCTCCTGCGAGGTAGGAAGGCCTCCACCCTCCTCTTTCCCCTGCCCCCATGCCCGCTCATCATCCATCCACACGTCCCCCCATCTGATGTTTATTAAACATGTGTTCAATCCAGGGCCACTTCCGGGGAATCCTGAGCTCCCCTCCCGGCTGCTTTTTATCCTCAGAACATCCCCCATCACCACGGTTGGGGCGGGGGTAGCAGTTTCCATCACCTAGCCGCACCCTGACCCCCACTCCTTCCTGCCACCCCCAACAGCTGACCTGTGTCGTGACAAGTTCTCCAAATGTGGCGTGATGGCCAGCAGCGGCCTGTGCCAATCTGTGGCAGCCTCCTGTGCCAGGAGCTGCGGGGGCTGCTAGGGTGGGACTGGCACCCCGAGCCCCGGACCCTCCTCGATCTGGGGCCCTCAGGCTCTGCCTGACCTGGTGCTTTTCTCCCCAGCCAGACGTTCCTTTTATCCCGTAAAATGTTAGTGGCTGCAGCGCCGGGGGTTGCCTCAGGCCCTTCCCCCAGCCTGCGGCCACCCTTGGGGCACAAAGGGGGCTCCAGTCTCCGCCCCCAGGTGGGGGACATCCCAGGCCTCTCTATGGGACCTGGGCCCCTGATGTGCCTTCTCCATCCCTCTGAGGACAGTCCCCCACTCCAGCCCCACCCCCAAGGAAGGCTATGACCCTCACCCCAGCTGGTCTGCTTGGATTTCCTACAGCCCCTGGGCATAGACCACCTTTGTTTTATACAAAATTAAAAACAGGTTTTTACAAAAGATTCAGAGTCACTTTTTCGGTCGAGGGCACAGAGGAGATGGCCAGGTGCCTCAACACTGCATGTCCTCACGGAGAGGCTACCAGGCCCCTTCGGGAGAAGGGCAGGTTCAAGTGACCTGTGGCCTTGCCTCCTCATCCACCAGCTTCAGCTCTGACCTTCCCAGAAAGATGGGCCATGACAACTGCCCCCCGCCCCCAGGGTGTGTGTGTGTGCGTGTGCGCGTGTGTGTGTGTTGCAGGGGGTTGTATCAGAAATAGAAGGTTCAGGAATATAGCTTCCTCATTGTCAGGGCTGCCTGGTGAGTCTGTGAGTGCCCCATCACCAGAGAAGGGTGCAAGGCAAGATGAGAGGCCGCCCACGTGGAAGCGTATAGGGTGGAAGGCAGGAGGTCAAGGTTGGTGGACTCTGATATCAAGGGCTTTGGCAGGAGGGAAGGCTGGTGCAGTTCAGAGGGCAGAAACAGGGCAAGCTGTTACAACACCTCCCTCTGACCAGCATATGGAGACCAGGCTCTGTCTGAAGGCTCAGCACACAGGCCTATTTAACCCTCCAACCAGGCCTATATGGTGGGTACAGTTAATATTCCCATATTACAGACAGGGAAACTAAGCCTAGATTATGTAAACCACCCAAGGGTCCACAGTGGTAAGTGGCAGGGCTGGGGTGGAACCTGACTCCACTGGACTCCATGAGATGAATGGAATTTCTCCTTGGAAACACTCACTGAGCATCTTCTGTGTGTACTTCCTCATAACCACCCTGGGAGGCACATTCCCATTTTACAGAGGAGCAAACTGAGGCTCTGATAGGTTAAGCGGCTTTGCCCAGGATCACCCAGCGGAGCCAAGGCGAGATCCCACGTCCACTCCCAGGCCTGCACTTGTTTACCACACCGCCTGGAATGCCTGTTACTGTCCAGAGGGTGGGCCCTGTCCTGAGGAGCCAGAGAATAGAGCAGAAAGCTTCAGCTGGAAAGAGTCGAGCGGCATAGGTTGGGTCCCATCCCAAACCTCAACAGCTCCATCTGTTAAATGGGGTGGGTGGCCCAGGACCCTGGAGGCCTCCCCATCCCAACATCCTGTGAGGTTGGTAAGTTCCTTACCTTTCGTCACAGGCCTTTCAAAAACTGCCCCCATCTCCCTGAGCACCCACTAGGGGACCCCATCCCTCTGGCCCCAGGGCCCTCCTGTCCCCCCTCCTGTCTCCCAGATGGAGAAGGCACATTAATAGTAAAGGGACACATCTGTACAAACCGTCTTTTTTTAAATGGGCTCGTCTTGTTACAAAAACCACAACAGTTCTGAACAGTTAACATTGTAAAAAGGTACAAAAATACAGGGACTCTGAACTCTGAGGAATTTCCTGACAAATACTCTGAACTAAGGCAAAGAGATCTCTGGGAAGCCAGAGAAGGTCCCCTGCCCCAGGCCTGGACATCCCTTCTCTTTCCTGTGAACCTGTGCTCCAGGGTTGGCCAGAGACAAGGTGCAGGGGAGGTCTCTCCAACCCCTGGCTTTGGCTCAGACACTCAGGGAGGACCTCAAACTGGTCCTGGGGGACCTCACATGGGCTCATCCTGGGGGAGAGGGGGCTGGACTGAGTGGGGAGCCCACAGAGGGTGGCCGGCTCTGACGAGGCTGGGAGGGCGCTGCCGGGTCTGGCCTGGTGCCGGAGTCCCCCCTCCCCTGTCCCGTCCCGGCCACGGGGCTGCTCTCCAGGGTGCCCGCCGGCAAGGTGCTCACTTCTCTGGGGGGCCGGAGGAAGGGGAGAAAGAAGCTGAGCCCCTTCGAAGCTCCTGCTGCAACTGTCCCTTCAGTGTGGATACCTGGAGAAGAAAGAGGCGGTAGGGCCAGCCCAGGACCCCAGCCTGGTTTCAGAAAAAGCGGGGCGGCGGGGGTGGGGTGTGACTGATGGAAGGACACCAGAAGGGACCCAGTGCTGCCTGTTTCAGAAAAACCAGGTGTCATTAAGAGCCAGGGTATTTCCTCCCCTTCTCATTTTGCTCCATGGAGCAGTGGGGTGTCTCCAGACTGCTCGGCCTCTCTTTGGGGGCCACCCATCCCCACTCTCACCACTAGGCCAGGCCTGGAGCTAGCTGGACTCCAGGGGTGGACCTGTGACCCAGGCCTGGCCTACCAAAGCAGCCTTGCCCTGCAGACATGATCAGGGCAGAGATGGTCACGAGGGGGCCTGCGGTCTCAGCTGGCCAATGAGGCTCATCCTTGGGACTTGTGCTGCTGATCTCAGGGAAAAGGGCCCCCCTCTCCGCTGGGATCATGGGTTGTTAGGATAACCCGAGGCTGGAGCTGTTGAGGCCACCTGTGCCACCCGGGGAGACAGCCTGCCCGGGCATGGAGCCGTGGCAAGGGGACTGAGTTCCAGTGACATCACTTGAGCCCCTGTGTCCAGCCGTGGCTCGTAGCAGCACAGATCCACCCGGACCGTTTCAGTTATGGGTGCCATTGACCACTTATACCCAAAGGTTACTGCCAGCCCTCTCTCTGCCCCCACTTTTTCCTCTCCCTCGCCCCCTCCTCTTCCTCCGCCCCCTTCCCCCAGCTCCACACTTCCATCCTGGCCCAGCCTCCTGAAGGGGGAGTCCTGCCGATGCTGCCGCCCCCTGGGGAAGGGCCAGAGCCCACCAGGCCTGAGTACCTGCTCCTCCAGGCCACGCACCCGCTGCCGGTGGGCCCGCTCCCGCGCCTCCAGGGTGCGCTCCGTCTGCACCTGGGCACTGCGCAGGCGATCCACTTCCTGCTGCAGCTCCAGCCGCTGCTCATCCACCTCCAGCCGCGCTGGGCTGTGGTTCTGCTGCAGTGCTGCCACCTGGGCCTGCAGGAGGGCCCACGGGTCAGGCCTCTGGCCGTAGGGTGTCAGGCACCTCCCTGGGGTGGGAGCCTGAGGGCCCCTTGGGGCAAAGCAGGGGATGTAGGAGAGACCCTTGTTTTTCTCCCACCCCCCAGCCCTCCTGGCCTGCAAATCCTGGGTCAGGGTAGTTAGTGACCCCCATTCAGGCACACACACACACAGACATATTCAAACACAGAGACAAGCCCATATGTGTATACAGATATAGATAGATAAGATAGATAAAAGCAAGCATGTAAAAACCTGTGTTCACATGGATGCATGCATATGTGCAAAAGCCCAATACTCTTACATACATCTACATACAAGAAGAGACCTGTACACAAAGATACAGATATAACCCTAATACTTAGATATGCCACATCCATGCACAAGATTCGTGCTACATGCGCAAGAATACTCTCACATACACTCATAGCTCTTCACGTCCACAACCAACGTGAGCACACAGGCGCGTGTGCTGACAGGTCTCTTTCCTCTCCACTCTGGGGAGGACCCCTCCCTCTGGGACCTGGCTCTGGGCACCCCCTCCAAGGCTCTGGGCTCGTGGACTGTGGGGGTGGAGTTGGGTCCAGGGCTGGGGAGAGAAAGCGTGTCCAGGGCTGGGTGGGCAGGGGCTAGACCTCCAGCAGCTGGATCTGCCCCCGGGCCTCGGCCAGCTCCAACTCAGCCTCTGTGAGCGTGTGGTCCAGGAGGCCCTTCTCTGCGCTCAGCCGCACCGTGTCCTCGTGACTGCGAAGCTTCTCCCATTCCACCTAGGTGGGGACAGCGGGAGGGGGTCAGGGTGCCCGGGGAAGGAGGGAGGTCCCAGGAAGTGGGAGCAGCTCAGAAAGGGGTGTTGGGTTACAGGTAGCAGGGCCGGGGGGACTTGCAGCCCCCACATCCTGGGGACACACAGCTGGGACCAACCAGGGCTGGGACCCAAGGCAGTGAAGGGAGGGCCCTAGGGACACAGCCCACCTTGTCCAGCATCCTCTTGAGGGCCACCCGGTCCTTCTCCAGCTGCAGGGCTGAGCGCTCCGCCTCCCGCTTCTCGGCCTCCAGCTGAGCCAGGGCACGCTGCAGGCTCCCCAGGCGCTCCTGCAGGAGCCGCCGCTCATCCTGCAGCTTCTGGACCGTGTGTAGGGCCGCAGCCTCACCTTCTTGCCGTTGCCGCAGCGCCTGCAGCAGAAGCCAGCGAGTCCCTAATCCCCCTGGGCCTCAGGGTGTGCATCGGAAGCTTGGAGATGATGATGCCAGCCTGCCAGGCCCACTTTCTAGGTAAGGCTATTATGAGGCCCACATCAGGGAATGGTCACCCGAGGCCAGACAGTTCTCTCTGGGCCTCAGTTTCTCCATCTGTATAATGGGGATATGGACTGAGTGAACCATGCTTCCGCACAGGAGGCTGGGCCTAGGTTTGGGATAAGGTGGAGATAGGTGAGAAGGTCCCGACGCCGAGGGCCTCACGGTCCTGGGAACGGAAGGGCCACCCTGGCCCTCACCTCCTGCAGCTGTTGCAGCCGGCCCTCGGACTCCGCCCGCTGCAGCTCCAGGTCCGCTAGCTCGCCCCGCACGGTCTGCACCTGCTCGGCCAGGGAGCTGCTCTGCTTCCTTGCCTCAGATAACGCCTGCCGCGTGGCCTCCAGCCGTTCCTGCGGGACAAGGGCTGATGGTGCCAGGCTGTCCTGGGAGCCCTGAGGCAAGGGGCTCCTCTCTACTCGGGACCTCCGGGCCAGGTTCACAGCCCAATAAACAGGTAGTCCTCTCACCTGGAGAGCAGCCTAGCCACTGACCTACACAAGGTGGGGAAGCCCTCAGACCCCAGCTCTTCCCTTAGCCTGCCCCTGGGTCCTGCAGCCTGTCCTAGTAGGCTTGATCCCACCTCCCCCCAGAGCCTCCCCTCATTGGCTGATGCTCTTACTGGGCCCACCCCTCCCTCAAAGGCAGCTCTTATTGACCGTCCCAGGGGTCAGCTCTCCACCAGGCCCCCAGCCTGCCTTTGTAGGCTAAGTCTCACTGGGCCCCCGCAGCCAGACCCTGGAACCCCCATACTTGGAGCACTTGGCGGTCATGTTCACAAGCAGTCAGGGCCTTCTGCATGTGTAGGTTCTTGTCCTGGGTGCTGGTGAGGCTGGCGCTGCTTTGGGT